GGCGATCGCCGAAAAGGAGCGGGATGGAGAAAGAGGGAGAAGAATGGTAGAATGTTTGCTGGGTTCCGCAAGTGTATGTATAAATTTGGAATTTAGGATCCAATTAATCCAACTTTTGCGGGCTAGCTGTGATTCCAGGCGTGGGCCCTGCTTTTATTTATTAAACTGGTCTACAAAGGTTTTTCAGTAACAAGAAGAAAACACACATATCCTGGAAAATAATTTGCCTCTCAATACAGATCTTTTTTAAGAATTTCGGTATCGGCCTCAGTTTTCATGTGATGATGGTTTTTCTAATTGTATATGTGTCCCTATGTGTTAAATGTAGACGTATTTGGCAAAATGACACGCTCTAATAATGTTACATGCACACAGCAAGAAATACAACAATATAAGTGTTCAGAAAAGTGAAGAGGAAGCTTGGAATATTTCACAGGAGGATTGAAATGTTTGTTCAAGCTGATTACCTCCTCCTCTGTCTTCTGAATGTTCACCACTGTAGAATTCATCTTCATTCTCTGTCATGTACTCAGGAGGCATTAATAAAATACAAAAAATACGATATTGCACAGTTTACTTCGTTTTTGAGATGATTCCAGCTATTTGTGTCAGAAAGAAATAACAGTCTGGTGTGTAATCCGTTATATCCTTTCAAATCATAGGAAAAGCATGTGGCATGTGTCGTGAATATTTTGAGCATGTAAGGAGTGTAACACGGCACTCGGCATAAATGGGAGGTCCATTTCATGTCCTGGTCACCTACCTTACACCCGAAATAAAGTTCATAACATTTCATTCTCAGAGGATTAAGGTTGCTTTTTTGCTGTTTCAGAGATATTTTTCCACAGATGCAACGAAACGCAGTTACAGGGAATTTCTTATTCTGAATTAATACAAAGCACAAATCTGCACGAATCTAGAATAACAAGCAGTCACATTCAAGACGATTTCCATGCTGTCAAATCTCTCAACGCTGGAACGCAACTGTCAAGAAACACACTGCGAATCTGTCTGTTCAAGCATGACTTATCAACAATATTGCCAACCCTTTTTTATTTCCTAGATTTGAATTTTCTGAATTTAGTGTCATGTATAGGAATTGAGAGCGTAGGCTTCCGCGGAGTCAGTATTTACTTGGCTGTCCGGGTGACGCCGCGTCCGTGGCGAAGGTGCCGACGTTTCGGTCGCCATTAGCCGACCTTCTTCAGGGCGTAATGCCCTGCGGTGTCACCCGGACAGCCAATTAAATACTGTATAGGAATTCATTGCACACATTTCGATTGTTCCTAAACAATTACATGCGCAGGACAATTAAATGAAGCTACAGCAAAATTACCATCGTTTTCAAGCATTTCCGTAGACAGAGTGTAGCATGTAACAAGAAACCTGAGTCTGATAGGCGATTTCATATTCGAGTTTAGTGTTCAAGTCGTAGCTATGAACACCATTCACATTCTTTGTTACAAAAATGCTGTTGACCAGTCTTAGCCACACCACGAGCCCAGGGACACATGTGGCGATTATGACGTATTCCTGTGCTTACTTGGCCTGCCCGAGCTTTTTCTTTCATCACACAACTACAGAAACTGAGACAATTGTAACACATAGCTACAACTCCATTTTTCCCAGACTGGGAATCGAACTTGGGATCGCATCATGGAAAGCTAGCTTGCTGGCTATGAGTGTCCAGAGGGCCTTGACCAAAGAATAATCCTCAGAAATGTAAAGAATATTTCTTTAAATACAAATGTTCAAGTCCAATTTCTTTAAATTCTAGCAACATTAGTTTTCATGGGAATATTCTCCAGTTGTATAAATGACAGAACTAATAGGTAGTAGCACACACCCAACACATGCTAACCAAAGTTTATGAAATACTCATCATAATGAATCATTTCTATTTCATCTTGCTAATCGACCATGCCCCATCAAGTTAGTTTTGCTGAATAAGAGTGAAAATCAACTTTCACATCTACATAGGGTAACCCGTACAGTCGTGGGCACCAGTATAGTGATGGGCACAGCAACTGTAAGGGGGGGTAAAAATATGATTTCCAAACAGCTAGAGGCCCTCTGTATGTAATCTCTGTGTCGCGAGTGTCTTTAAATCCGGAATATGAATTGAAGTGAGCGTAGGTACACTTCAACAGCTACTGGTGTGCTCCACGTGTTGTCTGTGCATCGAATCGTTGTGGATTCATTAGCGGAGGTGTGTCCAGTTATTAAGAATTTAAGTCAATTCGTCTATTTTTATTTGCAATCCGCTCTATGCGTAGTGTAGCCAGGTTTTTAGAAACGAAGAGAGAAAGGAAGATGGAGGGCAGAACGTCTTCCGGGTTCCGCTAGTGACTGAATAAACTGTATTTAAGGTTCTTATAAATATTTGCATTTCAGAAAAATACATAATTCATATTTATCCGATTTTCGAGAGATATTTCAAACACAAGTAAAAAGGGCAACAATATTTGAATCAATTCGCTTGCTCTGTAGAGTAGCGGTAAAACGTTTGAAACCCCTTTTCGAGGTCTACGGGGAGCGCATCGTCGCAAAAACAAATATCAAAGACAATAAAAGATGATTGGTATTGGCAGCAGACGGCTGAGAGCGCGCAAGAAACCAACAACATACGTTGCGGCATGGAAGCCCTGTACTTTTTCAGTGTTATTGAATTCAATGGAATTTTGTTTATTTCAAATCTGAAAGGATATATTTTAAATCCACGATTGTACCGTTTTATCGAGATTCGAGGTACCGAACTCGGTGAGTATGGGAAAGACCAGGAGTGAAAAAATCATTTACATGTGCATATTATTCCTTTCAAGTTAGTACCAAGATACACGTGTATAATGTTCTATTACAGTGGTAATGAAATTTAATTATCGAATATCTACTAAATATACAGTACTTATACACATAGTAATGTGTATGATACGTACGTACATTCATATGTATCAGTGTACGTACTCCAGCTTACACCCAGCACTGCGGCTGACTCTGCAGCGACACTAACCGGGGTCCTGACCTAGGGCTCGAGTCCCGCCGGTGGGGGACTTTCGATATTAGCTACAAAGCTAGGTCGAACACAGTCGCTGCTTGCATAAGAATTCCAGCGGCCGGCTGCTCTCGTAGATATATTTCCGTGGTTGCTCCGATCAACTCTAGCCTAATGCCGGGGCAGATTCCACAAGAAACAGACCAAGAACCGCAGCCTATCATTCTTTCCTCTTTCTTGTTCTCACTCTCCCCTTAAACACACCCACTTACATTCACTACACTGCCAAATATGCCGGGAGATCAAGCGAGAGCTTTAAGAACTCGTTCTGGCTGGGGCGGTGCCTGGCTGGAGGAGAGCACTGGAGGGGAAATCCACTAAAAGCCGCCGTGTAGATCGCCGCCGAATCTCACATCGAGTGGCGGAGGAACACAGCCGGATCCCAGAACAAACTTTTCACTACACTAAACCGGAAGAGATGGCTCAGGGCATCATTGGATGTCACTGCCGTCCCTCTGACCGGGAGGTCCTAGGATCGTGTCCCGACGGTGGCAGGATTTTCGACACTAGCTTGTCAGCTAGGACAAAATTCAGTCACTGTCTGGTGGAGAATTCCGCGGCTGATCTGATCGGTAGTTTTCCGTGGTTTCTCCGATCAACAAGCGGCGAATGCCGGAGCAGTACCATACAATCGGGCCATGGACCGCGCGTGGTATTTCCTACCTACTCCATGTCCTATCCTCACCCCTTTAAAACTCTCGCACCAACATGCACTACACTACACGAGTTTGATATGAAACCGTGTAGTTTTAATAAGCTCTACGTACATGTTTCTGCTTCCAGATTTCTTCAACATGCATTTTAACACATTGAATTAAATGAGTTTTGAAGAAATCTGAAAGCAGAAGCGAGTAGAGCGTATTAAAAACTACACGATTTCATAACAAACTCAGTTTTTCCATCAGTGCATAAAATGCGTTTTGATTAGTTGCTCCTCATACATTCTTATGTATTCCTTATATTCCTTATATTCCTTATATTCCTTATATTCCTTATATTCCTTATATTCCTTATATTCCGTATCTATTCCGTATATTTCCGTAAAATTTCCGTATATTCCTTATATTCGCCTTATATTCCCTTTAATATTCCTATATTCTATATTCTTATATTCCTTATATTCCTTATATTCTTATATTCTTATATTCCTTATATTCTTATATTCCTTTATATTCCTTATATTCTTATATTCTTAATATTCCTTATATTCCTTATATTCTTAATATTCCTTATAATTCTTATATTCCTTATATTCCTTATATTCCTTATATTCCTTATATTCCCTTATATTCTTATATTCTTATATTCTTATTTCCTTATATTCATTATATTCGTATCTTTTCCTTATATTCTTTATATTCCTATATTCCTTTAATATTCTATATTCCTTATATTCCGTATATTCCGTATCTTCCGTATATTCCTTATATTCGCTTATATTTCCTTATATTCCTTATATTTCTTATATTTCCGTATATTCCTTATATTCCTTATATTCCGTGTGTGTGACTTTTTGATTCGGTCTCTAACGCGCTGCCCGTAGGTATATTTATCCTTAAGGGCAAGATACTGTCAGTACGGGGCGCGAAAAGTCGGCCACAAAACGCGCGGGGCGGGAGTGGGGCGGGGCAGGGCAGGGGCGGAGCAAGGGGCGGGGAAGGCAGGAGGGAATGGGGGAGGGCAAAAGGGCGGGGTGGGCGGAAGCAGGGCAGGAATGGAGGGGCGGGGAGGGTGCCGGAGAAGGGGGAGGAGGAGGAGGGGGCGGAGGCAGTCAAGGGGTGGAGGCGGGGACGGGGCGGGCGGTGGCGGGGAAGGGTACGTGGGGGGCGGGGCGGGGCGCGGTCGGGCGGTGAATGGAAGCCCTGCGAGGCGCGTTTTTGGGTCAACGCTGAAGCTGGTTTCACGGCGGCGGCGGCGGCGCCGCGGGGGCAAGGTTGCGAGCGTAGCAATGTGCAAGCAGCCCCAAGTCAGGTGCATGCCCGGGTCGGTGGCGGTGGAGGCGGCCGAGGGGCCGCAGCGGGCGGTGGCGGGCGGGCGCGAGGCGCGGGCCGCGCCAGTCTCGTCGCGCACGCGCGCGAGTCAACGTCGACGCTCCCCGCAGCGGCAGCAGCCCCGCGCGCGCAGCCCACTTCCCCGACCGCGACCGCGACCGCGCCGCACTCAGTCGTCGCGCGCGCCATGCCGCGCCGCGTGCGCAGCTGAGCCCACGCCCCTTCTGCGCGCGCAGCTGACGCGAGCCGCCTGCTTCCGCACGCGTGTTAATCGACGGATTCGAAACGGTGAGTGTTTTCGTTTGTTTTTTTTTTTTTCATCGCTTGCGGGATGCGCTAGTGGCGTTTGTGATTTGTGTGACGTGCGTGTGTCTATCCACAAGAATGGACGGTGTTGTTTTGTTTGTGAATCGATGTTCGCGGTGATCATGGACAAGCGTGAATACTGTGACAGCGGTTGATTTGATTGTTGCGGTAGTTGAGTGTGGTAGTTCGTTTCTTGTGACAGCGGCATAGTAGTGTTTCTTCTTTATTTGCACGTTGCTGGCGATCGCCGTCGCGTTGTGTCAGTGTTGTCTACGGGACGTTTATCCGCACGCAGTTGAATGCTCAGATGATAAGATTGCGTTTCCTGGTGGTGTGTTTCTTTCATTGACGTGGAGTGGACCAATTGCTGATAAATGATCGATAAAGCTTATCTCTTTTATTAGTGGTATAGGTTTTACAGCTGCTTAGTTTCAATGTGTGTCTGTTTCATATAACAGTTTATTTGCATATTCATGCTCTGTGCAGGCTTGTGGTTCATCGAAATTTCGTCACTCAGATGTCAGGGCATGAACTTAGTAACATGATTACAAGTGAACAACAACAGTCCATGTGAATTAACATTACGACCAAATTTATCGTTCATTTATTGTTTCTTAAACACTGAAGATTATTTTTATGTGACAGTTGTGCAGAAAACTATAGTAAAAGTTTTAATAGGATAATATGAATAAACGTTAACTTCTGATTAGTTTAATTTAATTTAATTTTATTATATTAAAATATTAATTTAATTTTATTATATTAAAATATTAATTTAATGATCATAACTAGCAAACTCTACTGGAAAATACAAACTTGTAGGGTTATTTTGGCTTGATTCTAGTTTACAATTTTAGCACGCCTACTAGTGAAGTTTAATTTTTTTCGCGTATAAATCTTATAATTATGAGACATAAATCATAGAACAATAATGTCATAGAGATCAAATATTCAAAGGAGATAGCTGCCCTCTTCGATCTCCTTCATATTAATTTTTTTTCCACCGTCAATTATCTCAGATTAATTGTCAAAATAACAATCTCTCTTGACTCTCGGTTTAGCTAAGACGCCGAGAATCAGATATTATCGATGTTTTGTGCCTAATATTACACAGGCTACATGACTTCGGATCAAGATCATAACGTTGTGTCGCAACGTGACAGTTCAGTGGTTGCTTCTTGTTCCGGTCTACCGGCGCACGTTGGTAACAGAATGCGATTTGCTCGTGGCAGCTGGTCTAAGAGCCATATAGAAACTCTGCTTTCGCAAATGCTGTGGAGAACGACCAGTCATGGCCATATGGCGCGGGGATGCTGGAGGAAGAGTGGTCAAAAAAATGCGATTCACTCGTTATACAGAGGTGGGTGCACGTGGTAAATTGCTCGGCTTTGAAATTGAACATTATGCATCCAGACCTCGCCGTGTCATGTTCCTAACAAATCTTGCGCTTCTAAAACTCATTAACTAGCGTAAATGGTGTTTATTCTGTTACCTGCTTTCATCATCCGTGTTTTTAATTTTATTTCCGGCCAATTTACTTAGTACGCTATTTTTTATTGGCGAGTCGATTGCTATATTATCAATACTCAACAGACCTGTATGTATTTTTCTTTTACATATTTGCAAAGATAAGATGAATTTAGTGATGATAAACAAAATGTTAGGTACAATAATAAACGTATTGATCTTACGGATATATCTGCATTATATACGGCGGATATACGGATTACGTTAGCACTTACTCTGGGTCAAGTATTGAATAATGAACTTGTTTTTCACAAATCGAATGTTACGTTACTGATATGATATTATAGTGTGGAAAAAGGCTCAAGTAAGTAGATCTCGGTAATTTTTTTCTGCATAAAAATCATATTTGAAACAATTCATTTCGAAATTAAAGTATAATTTTCTTATCGTTTATCTAGAGTACATTTTATGTTAACAAGTGAATAAAAACACGTACGGAAGAGTAAGATTATTCTTTGAAAAGGGTTGGAGTAAAGTATTTAAAAGTGGAGGATGTAGTAAGTCTCGTGAGTTGGATGGTTTAAGTTTAACAAGGTCAGCGGTGTATTGACTTCAGAGTCGGGAATGAGACACGTAAGCGTAGAGCAAGATTAATTTTCTCACTTTAGGAAGGCCAATAGATGTAATATTGAATGAGGCGCCGTTCCCCGAAGAGGGAAATCCCCCCCCCCTCCTAAACGTTTTCTGTAACTATTAATTTTAACTTAGCACAAATCTTTCAAGAAATATATTCAAAGTATTCAACATTCAAAATATGTTCGGATAATCATTAAAACCAATAAAATCGTAGTGTAGCATAACATCGTAGCATTGCCTATGTCATTTTACAAAATCTGTAATAATACACCTCCGAAAAAAACATTTTGAATTACCCCTCCCAAAATTCGTCTCTGGAACTGCCGCTGAATATTATATTATTAATCTATAATTAATTCGACGCAGAACGTTAAACGCAGATTAACTTTATTGTATATTTACATTTCTATGTTCCATGACTCTATTCCTATGGATAGACTTGCAAAAAATCTTCGAAGTTCATTAAATTTGTAGGATTTGCGGGTAGAATGGTCAATAAAGTTTCGAAAACTGTCAATAAGTATTGTTTGTTCTATCACGATTAAAAAAATTCTGAAATATAAACTAGATTGACTAAAGTCGATTAATGTCCCTTATTAGGTAACGGCAGCTACGAGAGAAATAAACATCAGAAAATTACTTTCTCGGCTTACAGTTAATTTTCTGCTAATTGGACGTTTGAGTCTACAGCGCTCACAACAAATACAAAATAATCGTGATAGGGCTTCATCGTATCGTCCAAGAAAAGCTTTGTCACTCTCGAACGGATGTTTGCCTTGCTCTCCAGACAGGGAATATACTACACGTTCGCAGCAAATCTCTTCGGATGAGGATGCCGGTGTAGTCAAGCGTTGAAATTTCCTTAGAGGCTCGCCCTCGTGGTAGCTGGAGTCGGAATAACGGGACACTATCTGCGACATGAATTTACGAATTAATGTAATGAGCTGTGCACTTTCTTTTGAGACGCGGAAAGAGAATATTTACTAACAGGGGACAATAAGTAAAGGACAGATTGGTGAACGGGATATACTACTTAGGTTCTTAATTTTTTTTTCAGAGATAGAACTTTTGGAATTAAAAACAAACACGTTTTTTCCAGTATACTGATCCAGAAACACACATTAAAACAAATTATTTCATAATCATTATTTGTAATATAAAAGAATCAATATTTGGACACAACATTGTAGTTTGACAATCATGTAAAATAATCCAATTATTGGATACAGCTAAATGAAACTATTCGTTGATAAAAATAGTAATAATAATAACAATAATAATAATAATCGGATGAATAGCTTTTATTTTTGAGACATTGCTATTCGTTCCGTGAATTTACGTTACTTTTCAATTAATTCTCCATATTGTGTTATTCATCATAGCTTTGTCAATATTATTATCATCCACTAGTGGATTTACGGAACAATATCTTTTAACTTCAAAGGTTACCAGAAAATGTGATTTGTACATTCTTAATATAAAAATCATCAAATCCAAGAGAGTACGAGTCCGTATAATGTAGAATACATTAGGTGGTTAGCCATCACTAACGCGAAGGTTGCGTGTTGGTGAAAACAGTAAAGTAATTTTTCTTGACGATTAGCAGGAGTATTAGAAAATGTTGAACTTCGATAATGCAAATATAAAGTAGAGGATTTTCTGGGTTTTGGATTATTTGGAGAGGTTAGATATAGAACATACGTTTCAGAGTGAGATGCGAAACACTCTGCATATTACACTCTGGAAAATCAACATGAGTGCATAAAATTCGAGATATATAGGTGAAACTATCCAGGTTCCATTTCATAGTGTATAAAATAGGGTTACAAGATCGAAACAATCCATCCATTGTTATCTTCGTTAATCAACCCCCATGGGCGAAAAGCCATAAGCTCTGGAGCCTGAGAAGATGGATGGTGCATCCGGAGAAACCTGCCCTCTCCTCTCCAAATCAAATCTAACGACCCCGTGGCGAGGCCTTATCCTCAACGATATCCAGTCACGACTTGCGTTTTTGGCAACGTCGAGAGAGGCTGGACCTCGGAGCCCACCATATACACGCTCCGCTCATCCGCTTTCAGCTGGAGGCGTGAACATCCCGATCGGAAACCCCTCTTCCCCGCGCCAACGTCTGGGTATCTCTGTCTCTCTCCTTGTCGCGTGGTGGCCGTGAGAACGGCGGCGGTGGCGGCGGCGACCAACGGCTGAACGCTGGGTTCCCGCAGGGCGCCGCCACGCCACCCGTCGACGAATTTCGCTACTCTGCTATGAATGTCGCGAGTAAATTAATGAATGAGTTATCGATAGAGTGAATGAGTTATCGATAGAGTGAATGAGTTATCGATAGAGTGAATGAGTTAACGATAGAGTGGATGAGTTAACGAGCGAGTGGATGAGTTAACGAGCGAGTGGATGAGTTAACGAGCGAGTGGATGAGTTAACGAGCGAGTGAATGAGTTAACGAGCGAGTGAATGAGTTAACGAGCGAGTGAATGAGTTAACGAGCGAGCGAGTGAGTTAACGAGCGAGCGAGTGAGTTAACGAGCGAGCGAGTGAGTTAACGAGCAAGTGAGTGAGTAAACGAGGAAAGGTGTTAGCGAGCGAATGAGTAAGTGAGTTACCGAGAGAGTGAGTTAGCAAGCAAGTATTCCATGATCCCGGGCGTGACAACTACTGTGGTCATTAGTTCCCTGAAAATACTGCATGTTATATCCCAGGATGTGGCAATGTTCCTCCCCTGTGAGGACCGGCTCCGACCTATAGGTTGACTTGCGGGGGGTCCCTCTTCAGGTATCTCCTCTAGCGGGGCATTACCGAAGCCAGGATGTGCTTTCAGCTCCTGACTGGTCTCCTGATGTGTTAGTGTAGTGCATGCATGC